AGAATGTACCTACCGGAGTGAAACAGTGTTCTTTCTCTCCAAAATCAGCAAATAGAATAACAAAGGCAGCCGCACCTGACGATGAAATATAAGCAAAATGGCTGTGTTTTAGAGCTGAAGTGTGTGGAATTCAAAAGTTTGCTTACGTGTCGACCTCTACATGTCGATTGTTCCTGACAGTATAATGCTTTGCGGACACGACGGTGCTCGACATTATTGGCACAAACGTGTTGTACAGTGAACGTCGACGTGCGTTCGAAACATGGAGCACGCCAATATTAGGCACAAGTAGTCATGCACACCCACAAGTAAATTAATGTTTCACATATGCTTCGACCAAATATATATAAACACATATTTAGAGCGCGTATGATGTGTACGTGTACGACCACACTCGTGTAACACACCTGCACATCCTACGATTCTAGCCACTTTGATGTGCCTGTCCCATTTTGGGAAAAGGGGCCCACTTAGTAAGCCATTGGGCTGCAGTGTCGGCCACTCTCCTTTACTCATGCCGTCCAAATCCTACTTCTTATGATGCTGCTAGTAGGATATTAGATATAGTATACCTTCCTTTTGAGAACCTCTTGGATATAGTACAAACCGTGTCTTCTCTCTGTGATGTTAATTATAAAAATCATAGCCTTCTGAAATCAAACAAAAACGGAGTTTGGAGTCTGCCTGAGCCAGTGTACCCTGTGGTCCTGTGGTCCCTGTGCCACTGCGGTCACAGAATGCGTGATTCATTGATTCTGGGACTCTCTCTCTCTACTACTCTGTCTCTACTCTCTATAATAGAGAGAGATAGAGTAGAGACTACTAGAGAGAGAGAGAGGCAGTCTTTGCCCAGCAGAGAGAGGAAACGACCTGGGGTCTGGGGGCCTGGGGCTGCGGGGCCTGAGGGCTGAGGCCTGAGGGCCTGAGGGCTGAGGCCTGAGGGCCTGAGGGCTGAGGGCCTGAGGGCCTGAGGCTTGAGGGCCTGAGGCCTGAGACTTGAGTGGCTGAGGGAGGCGCTGAGCTGGGCGATGTAGGGAGTCAGGAGTGTGTGACTGTGTGGTCCTACTATTTATTTTAGTATTTGTAACATACGTTTCAGAGTGCTGAACGCATAGCCGTAGTCCTAAGTGGTTGGTGGTTGTTACCGTAAAAAAATGCTGAACGTATTAACGAACGTCTTGTCGTTGCTGTTGGAACTTGGGACTTGGGTCTGGACTCTGGAGTCTGGAGTCTGGACTCTGGAGAATAGTCAATGGCCGTAAAAGACGAAAAGAACAGAACGTCATAGAAGTCAAAAGGCCGGCAAAATATAGTAATTTTACTGGTTATATCTATTATCTTCGTGGTAAATAGAACTAGTGAACATTTTTTGTATCGATCAATACCAATAACACACCGGTCAATCCAACGTACTGTGAGGTCGCGTGGGTCAATTTGTTCAGTCGTGTGCCGCAACCCACTATATAAGCGCCATCTCACGAATACGCAAGTCAGAAAGAAATAAGAGATTCAACTTAGAACACTATGAACGCAGCATCGGCGGTCTTCCAACCAAATTTTGAACTGCCACTATGGGTTCGTGAGATGAATGGGTTCACCTTCACGGTACTGCTACTTGTACTTGTGGTCTTTATATACGCGGTGTTTTTCTTTTTCCTCTTTAGAGCGGCGGAGAATGCAGATAACTCAGAAAGACGGCCTGACTGGTTAATACCTCCGACGGAAAAACTTGCTAACAGGAGAATTGCTGCGAAACGGGCTGAGCGAGCCAAGCAGGCGGCCGAAAAGAAGACTGAGTAAAGATATATGTCTATGCCCCATATTTAGGATTTTGATGGGGATGATGATGTGATGCGTATTCATTAAGATATCCACGGCAAGCACAGTATGTCAGTAGGGGCATATCCTTATTGCTATATAGATGCACGTGTTCATAGACAATTTGTTATAACAGCGATAAGCGATTAAGGGGTTCTCTGGCTGGTTGATCACCAAAGTTTAACGTCGCGACCACAGAGTAGCGGAAAATCAAGTCGTCGGTTCTAATGAGGCGTCCTAGTAGTAAATGAGGTAGTAGTTTTCACCGTGCAACGGGCTGAAAAATCAGTGATGAATCAACGGAAGTCTCTCTTATCCATTCGCGGATAGGATTGCCGATTGAATATGCGAATCAGGGGTATGTATATTCGACAAAATCCTGATTTTGTTATCTTCCATGGAAAAGTTGGCGTACAAGAATCGAGGAGCTGGCCACCTTACTTGGAAGGCTGCAAACGAGGAAGACGAACATCACTGTCTGAAGATGCACAGTAGGTTTATAATGTATATAAAAGTAGCTGTTTGATATACATACTGTAGAATGCATACATATGCATGAACACATGCACGGAAACCCATTTTATCTCTAGAAGTAGACTATTATGCATAGATAGCGACCGAAAAAGAATAGTGTCTTCTGAACCATGGTTGTTGGGCTGTACTAATGTGCGATGCATAAACTCCATATGTCGATCAGAGTGCAGCCGTATCTTTTAATAGTTCTGATTTGCATATAGTATAGTATCGGTGAATGTGGCTGTTCTGTGGCAGGGTTGAGCAGGTATTTTAGCGATTTATAAATTCCGTACATAACTCTGCTATTCTCTGTCTTTGCTACAATCGTCTTGAGTTTATAGTATATAGGCTCGAAAGTTGCGCTGAAGGCAGATCATGATAATATTTGTTATAAAATTTTCTTGACAGGATCTCATACTACTGTCTATATCCTTCTGTCATTTTTATATCGAGCAACACCTAAATATCATGGAAACGGCGATCCATTTAGAAAAATCGCTTTTGTTCTACTAAATTGATTCTTAAATTTCCATTCACGGGAGAGTTGTTTTGGGTACATATGTACCGGTCTAAAATCCTGTCTATTTTCCTCCTATTTTACTAAATT